GGGGGAGGCCTCCTCACCCTCTGCCCTGCTCCAGCCTGGGGAGCCAGTCCTCCATGAACTTCTCCAGCGTGAATCCTTCCCACGGGCTGCAGTTCTTCACGAGCTGCTCCAGCCTGGGTCCCCACAGGGTCACAAGTCCTGCCAGGAGCCAGCCCCAGCCCAGGGGGTCACGGCCTCCTGTCACCCTGCTCTGGCATGGGGCCCTCCCCAGGTGTGGGTGGAGATGGAGCCGTGGAGCTCTATGGCTGCAGGGGCACAGCAGGCCTCCCTGTGGGCTGCTGGGGAACCTCTGGCTCCAGCATCTGGAGCCCCTCTTCCCCCCTCCGCCCCCTTCTTAAATCTGTTCTCCCAGAGGTGCTACCACCATTACTGATGGGCTCAGCCTTGGCCAGCAGTGGGTCCATCTTGGAACTGTTGGCTTTGGCTCTGTCTGACATAGGGGAAGCTTCTAGCAACTTCTCACAGAAGCCACCCATGCAGCCACCCCTGCTACCAAAACCTTGCCCTGCAAACCCAATGTCACAGAGCATCTGTTGCATTTTTATAATAGTAGAAGGCTGGTTGCTTTCAGGGGAAGCAAGTCTTTAGAAGAAGAGAAAAGCAATGAGATCATTAGCTTGTGGTGGTTGCTGATCAGTTATTGCATTTTTGTTGGCATTCTGAGAAGAAAAGCAACAGAAATTCACTATTATTAGAAAGCAGGATTTGCCATGTAACTGCTAAAGGTAATGAAGGCTAATGGTATGCAGTGGTGTGCTCCCTCCCTATTACTCCCTTCTGCTTAAGCAGTAGCCACCAGTCACACTGGCTGCATGCAGCTTAAGGAGACAGGTAACACCACAATAGCCAAGGACTATAAACCTTGCTCAACAGCCAAGGGCTAACTCAGCATGCACCAACTGAAATACAGCTGGCATGCAAATACAATTATAAATCAATCATCTTACAGCATAATGGACAGCCCAGCACCCATTGAGCTCTCCAACACAGCAGCAGGCTGCACACCAGCCTCTCCCCTTGAGTCAAGACACCTCTCAAGGTTACTCCTCAAGGCTGAGAGATTCCTTATTGCATCGGCGAATTGGGAATTAGCACACTAACTTTGAAATCTTAGCCAAGTGATATAAAGGCTTGATTGTGCATATATAATCCTTTAGACATAAACCATTGACCAAGTCTGGGACTACATCTGGATCAAGCCACACACAGACTCCTCTCTTAGGAGTTTAGAACACCAGAGGGTCCTCTCTGAACCTCATGACTCAACAGGAGGGTCTCCCCACCAGTTCTGCCTGACCCTGCCCTCTGTGCAGCAAATAATCCAGTGTAGCTTGCCCTCCAATCTTGTTAAACCACTGTCACATTTACCCCTGAACTTTAACTCAGAGTCTTCTATCAATAAAATACATTGTTGCTTCTCTCTTGAAGTGCATCACTCCTTCTGCAACATGGTGGCTGAGGGTTTTTTCATACTTCTAATAACATTCTTGTTACATGTTAAAGAATTGAACTGTAGCAGGAGCCTTAACACAGCAAAATATTTTATTTTCAAAATAAAACAATTATTTTAAAATTCATCTTTTGTCTGTAACACTGATCAAAGCTATTTACAATTAAAATATTTTACAAAAATATATTTTTAACTTACTTAAAAAATATAAAAGAAATCATAGGGATTAAGCTTGCAAGAGTTAAATTCTAGTCCCAGAAGATTCTGGAGAAATACAGTCACAAGTAAATGTACAGAGTCTGTGATGCACTACAGTTTCTACAATAAAGCATCTTTGTTATTCTATAACAGTATCTATTGCAAATATACAAAGTTATAAAATGTGAGAAATCTAATAAGGGTATGATCAAGTAAGGTTCACTAGATCTCACTGGGAAGCAAAAGGAAGAATCTCCTAGAGTTTCAGTTACTAGAACGTAAGTGAAGTTGTTCTTGTACTTCTCATCAAGATATCCATTATGAAAAATCTGATAAAGCAAGATGTGTGACAACGCCAGCTCTGTGCACGCGAGTGCAGTCTGCATCACTCAAGTACAACACTATGCACATCAGGTACTATCTTCACTACATGTTTGCTCTTCCCCAGACCTTCTCTTGTGCAACTGCTTACCTCACTGAGCCCACATTTACCATCAATAAACATTCCTCAAACTCCTTATCCACGCACTGACTTCCCTTGTTCCTGTATCAGAGTCAAAAGCCCTGCAACATTATGAACTCTCACTTGGGAAGGCTTAAAAATAACCTTACCAAAAAAATTACTGTGAACCACAAGCTGGAAGAGCTCAATGACTGCTGAGTCAGAGTGAAATTTAGCAATTAATACTGAAAATAGCTTGTAAAGCTGTCTACATGCTAGCAGTGGTAAACTTTACAGGCACTTTCTATCCTTCCAGGAATCCTTCCAAAAAGGGTAAAGCAGTAAAGCATCATTATACGTTTTAGAATACTTGAACCATCACTTCAACAATTGTAACTTCTAAAAAGACTCCTTAACCTAGGAGTAGATGGCAGTAGAAGACATTTGGAGAAAAAACCTCAAGAATTTAAGAATAAGACAGTGATCACCATTACATCTTTGAGTAGGCAGGACCCACTAATTAAATTGTGTATTAGAATTGCTTTAGTGTGAATATCCAGCCTGTTTCTGTAATATAAACATTGCTTCAAAAATTTCTATTTCCCAATCACTGATTTAAGGTGTTCAAGTTTGTACTCTTCAATGAAGTCTTCAACAATATGCAGAGCTTTGACTTTTGCCAGCAGGACAAGAACTTCTTTTGTTTCATGACTATAAAATAAAATAAATAAAAATTTGATACAACAACACATTTATGTATCCGATTTAAGTACACTTTATGCTTATTAATTTTCAAGGGTCAGATATCAGGTATCTCCTTTGGCCACTTTCTAAGGTGACCCTGGCTACACTAATCGGTAACAGTACCCAAAACCCAGCACCTCAAACTATCACCTTAAACTAGAATTGCAGAAGCACTCCTTTACAGTATGGACTCCACCTTTTGTTTTATGTATATATTTGTACAAGGTTCACCAATTGTACAAGGTTCAACCAGGCAAACTGCAGGGTCCTGCACTTGGGCCACAACAACCCCATGCAACACTACAGGCTTGGGGAGGAGTGGCTGGAGAGCTGCCCAGCAGAAAGGGACCTGGGGGTGCTGGTTGACAGCCAGCTGAACATGAGCCAGCAGTGTGCCCAGGTGGCCAAGAAGGCCAACAGCGTCCTGGCCTGTATCAGGAATAGTGTGGCCAGCAGGAGTAGGGAAGTGATTGTGCCCCTGTACTTGGCACTGGTGAGGCCATACCTTGAATACTGTGTCCAGTTTTGGGCCCCTCACTACAAGAAGGACACTGAGGTGCTCAAGC